GATTGTTTTATACTTCTTTGTCTTTCAGTGTTCACTTGCATCTCACACATGAGGTCATCAATGCTGATATTATGCCCATATGTGAGGTATAGATGACATTCAAGATACGGTTGGCAAAAGCAAAGTTTCTACGTGAGTCTCTTTCATGAAGGCACTCAGCAATTCTTGTTTATTAGCGGTATAAGGTTGGTGGCTATACTGTGGGGAATTTAAAGTAAACCTTTGCCACTAGTGTTTTCACTGGCATCCCAAGTGAGATGTTTGATATTAAAGTCTCTTACTGCTAGATACATAGGAGTGTTGTCAGAGAGGTCATGCAAGAACTTCCAGTCCTCAACATGGTTTGTTACCTTTCATATACACATTAGTGATTTAGATGTGTGTGGGTAACTTTGAGTGAGCTGTCTAGAAAGTTTGTAGTTTGCAGTTGTGTGTTGTAATGTTTATAAAGAATGTTGTCATGTCAAACTGCAATGGCCATATCAGTTTCTGCGTTAGCATGTGATATAAAGTTAAAGTCAGTGAGAGTGAACCCCTTGGAGTTTGAGAATTTAGTCACTTTAAAGAATCTGGTGTCATAAAAGTCAGAGAGCTTCTCAAGGCAGTATTTGTTTCCTATGATATTGCAGTAATCTAATGTAATGCAAGAGTTTGGTGCACTTTTAACACATGTCTTTGGCCAGCTTTGTGTTTAGGCCTTGGTTTCCCTGTTCTTCTCTTTCTAGTAAGTTGAGGTCCCCCATTGAGCACTTCATTGTTTATGTGGGCATTCTTCTGAGTACTACTTTTTTAGTGTATCATTGTTTATAGCAATATATTAGTCACTTCTTTTACAGAAATCCTGTTTCTAGCCCTACCCTCTCCCATAACAAGGCAAGAGAGTGATGACAGGTTAGCAGCCTATTATAATAGGGCTATCATTCTTGAAGTGAGTATACATTTGTCAGTATGGTATAAAGATACCATCTCCCTTGGAGAAACCTCCCTGGTGCAGGACCTTATGGCAATCCAGCCCTGCTTATAATTGGTAGTTAGGTATCTTCATGTTGTTTCCACCCTGTGGCACTGTCTGGTTAAGTTTGCATATCTAAGTTGTGTTACTCATTGATCCCAAGTGTTAAATAATTCATTCACCTTACTGTTACGTACAACTATGCTCCACTAGTTGAACAGCAGGACTGATCTTACAGTATATTAGTTCCTGTCTCTCAGCAATGCCTTATACACATATTAAACTAAATTCAAGCTAGCTCTAACATTAGACCTGTAATTAATCAAATTGTAGTTCTGTACTGGTACTTATGATTCAACTCACACCAACTCTAATTGAATTATATTTGTAACTAATACATAGTAACATTGCACTTATGTCTGTAACTAAATGCATTGTAAAACTTTGCAACACAAATGAAACAAACTAACTGTACTTAAAACTAAACCATGGTAACTTGTATTAAATCTACAAACTTGGCAACCCTGCAGTGTATCTAAACTAAATGACTATAACTTAGCACTTGAAGTCTTTGGAAGATCCTCTCATCAAATAGTGCAAGCCACCATATTTGCATGTCAACAAAAGTGTTTCCAGCTTTATGGTCCTACTGAAGAACACAAAAAGATACATTTTTAATGATTGAGATAAAGAAGATAGACAACTGGTTCTACAGTGCTGCAACTAACTTAAAGAAAGAGTTCATATACATAAGAAACTGAAACAAGTTAAAAGGTTTGACTTTCTCATTAAACAACAAATGCTGCAACCCTTGACTAACCCTTTATCTACTGTAGCCAATTTCAGCTCACAATCACTCAACCAAACTGAAGCTGCAATTCTATATGTAGGCCTGAACTTTGCTGTTACTCCCAACTCAGTGCCAACTCTAGAGTTTGCTACTGCAGTTGAAAATGCCACTCAAAAATGTCATGAGATTAGAAGTTTTTTAAACTCTACATTGCATTTTCACAGTCAAAGGTAATTATAGTTATTCTAGACTTTGTGGACTACAACACCAAATTCCAAAACCTGATACAGAATGGAAACTACAAATGATTAAATCTTATTGAAATCTTTGGAAAATTATGTGATGGAGAAACTGGAAGATACTTCAGATAAGACCTTAGAGAATGCTGGAGACACAGTTGTGCTTTATGAACACAAACACTTCAGTGGTTGCTGAACATTGTGTTGATACTGGATGCCAACTGTAAAAGACAAACTACAAACAAAAAATTAAGAATGTCTTACACATTAAAAACAGAAAACCAGTTCTCAACAGGAACTTGAACTTAGCAATTAGCTATTTGTGGATTCAACTACTCAAAAACCAGCTAGTCATATTTCAGCATTCCTCAACCTCTGAAGCAGTCACATTTTAGAATACAAGAAACAGTTAGGAACACATATGCCTCTATTCTCAACCCCATTTCCCTGTTTTATATGTAATGCACTGAAACAGTCACAGGACCTGAACCAAGATTCATGTTAGTGTTTCAACATGTGGTTTCTACTTACTTGATACTTATTAGGACAGCTTAAAAAAACTCAAAACTTGTAGACTATTTTAAAAGACTTAGATTTTAATTATTTTTCTTTCTTCTTTTTTAAATTTCCTTCTTTCTCTTTTTAATTCCTTTCCTACACTCTTATTTATTTGATTGATTTGCTAATATACATATACCTTGTGTCATTAGCTATCCCAATTTGTTCATTACTATGATTCACTGTGCTTGTTCAGTCTTTATTGTAGAACAGACCTTGACCTAGTTTGAATTTTAAGTAAGCCTCATTGGCTGTGGTGAAAAATTACAATCTAAAATGTGTCATAAAGGCTCATAGACCACTATAAAGGAATTGCAGTCAGTATTTTCTTTTCTTTCCTCTTTTTCTCCCATTTATTTTTAATGTAAAGAAGAGATTAAGGACTGCTACTCACTCCTTGACAATAAAAGTAATGGCATGAAAACAACTTTAATGTAGTATGAACTGTAATGTAGTATGAAGTTATATAATTTATCTATTGTATTCTCCAAATAATCCAAAATTAATTTATATAGTTATAAAAAATTAAAGAGAATATTAATCCTTAAAAATTCAAGAAATTATAACACATCTGTGCACTTCACTTCCCATAGTGGACCCTAATAATATTATTATGCTTGATGAGATGTCTCTGTCAAACTTAGGGAAATGAGAACTTGCATGTTACTCAGGACTCTGAAAGCCAAGGTTTGGTTTCACAACAACTTTGCAGTCCTTTTTTCTTCAAGAATAAAATGCTCTTTGGACTTACCAACCTGTATGTGCTGGAGAACCTGTTCTTCATGTAGTTGAAAGCAAATAATGTATAGGCACATATTTTTCCAACCAGTTTTGTACATCTTATTCATGAGATGCTAAGTAGAGTACTATTGAATCACTGGATTGGCTATGCAGGAATACATCTTGAATGCCACACTCTTCACTATTAACACTTTGAGCTTTTGGTGTGAGGACACAATAAGACTAAGCTTTACACCCCGTGTCTAGACACATTGCTATGCTGATCTCATGGATTGTACTAGGAAAACAGTGCATTTCACTGTCTTTGACAAACTGTGTTGGTACACATACCTTGTGTCCAGTTACAGTTACCAAAAAAGAAATGTAACGACCAACTGAGATTATATAGAGATGATATAAAACCTGAGGGTACATAGACTAACATGCACTTTACTGCATGTTTCTATCTCTTTATTTGAAAGATTATAAGCATTATAAAAGGTAGTGTTGTAGCCAAAGTTTCAGGTCAGAGGGACTTGTAAATTAGTATAAGGCCTGTGTCAATACTTAGTTCTCGAAAAAAATGCAATTGTGTTTTCAGAAATTTTGCAAGTACTTAATTTAAAAGTAAATATCTATTCTGGTAAATCTTAGGGTTGTTGCATGAAAACAGTTTATTTTCCTCATTTACTTTAAATTTTTTATATTAATAATAAGCCTATTAAAATATAATTAAATATTTTATGAGCATAACTGTACATTTAGTTATTTGAACAAAAGTAAGAATAAAAGTCAAATTTAATTTATCCACAAATAATAAAGTAAGAATTTTTTTAGGTTTAAAGAATGTGTGTGTGTATGTGTTATATATGTTCATAATAAATTTGTTAAAATTTGCCATTGATACATGTAATTTTTACAAGTTTTGAAACCTTAAAATATGCAATTTTTTAAATTCTTATTTTTTTTAGCTCCGTTTTTACTGATGCATAATTGATATTTGAGATTAAGAGTTACTGGTTGTTGTTAGTAGTTTTTATTTTCAATTATTCTTTCAATAAATCTACAATAATTTGTATAGAGATGCATCAATTTTTAATTTTTTCCCTGTAATCGTTAAAGTGGTTAAAGTGGTTACTATTTCTGTCTGGGCATAATTAGCAACTGAATTTACTGGTTACTTTTTTGCTATTATTTTTCTACTTTATTTCTCTAGTAATGAACTGTAACTTACAGATTCAACTCAAGAAACATGCTTGAGATAGCATATCATATAATAAAGTGCTTAAGGATAAACAAGTAGACCTTGTTTTTTGTTGTTTTTAATTATCAGTGCTGTAAAAGTAAGGAACTCTGTATTATTTTGAATATACATAACATTTAGTTTCTTGTTTTAAAATTCACAGATATGTTTGTATGTGTACTAAAATGGCTTTGCTTTTTTATTTTGCATCTTTACATCCTGTCTTAATTCAGTTTTAAAGTAAACACAGTGAATAATGGAAAGCCAAATGCTGCTTATTAACAGTGCTTGAGACTGATTTTAATCTGACATCACTGTTGTGGATAGATACCATTAGAGTGAAGATGGATTTCACTTAGAGTGTCAGTAGTTTATGTTTGACAGTAAGAAACTTTTGGAATATGTATCGTACACAGTGCGTAAAGATTCAAACATACACACTGCAGTGAAGTTCCTTGAAGTATTTTTGTACAAAAACAGAACTTGCTATGTTTATAGGAGGCAGAGACAAGAGGGGAGGAGCTGTCCTTACCTTCCCTGCTAGAAATCTCCCTGAGAGATTAAAAACTGAAGACCTGAGACGACTTTTAACATACCTTGCAAGTATACCAGGGTAAGTATGCTGATTCAGTAAATACTGAACCTCTAAACATACCCTTGAGAGTAAGTTTAAATGAGTGTCGATGAACTTGTTAAGTATACCCTGCATTCAGATAAGTAGGCTGATGATGTTGTAAATATACTTTGTAAATATAGCTTGTACCTAACCAAGTGGGCAGAAGTTGATAATTATAGATGTATGTTGTAATTAAGCCCTGTAATCAGATGAGTAGTCTGATGCAGTTACCATTGATGTACTTGTAAAGCGTACCCTATGTTTAGATAAATAGATTAATAATGTTTTTGATGCACATGGTAGCTATATACTTAACTCATATAAATGTAAAAGATAATATTGTTGATATATCAAGTAGAGTGCAGTAGCCATTCTTATGCTTTAATATTTATTTTTTTTGTGACACTATTTGTATCTGTATGTGTGTGATTTAACTATGAAGTTTTTTAATGATACTGTTTTTATTTATGTTTGTGTTTACTAGGATATTTTTTGTGCAAAAGTTTGTCTTTATATTTGTATGGTCTAACAAAAAACTTATTTTGTTGCACCTAATTTTATGTATTTTTGTTTATATCTATGAAAAATAAAGTAAATTGAACTAAGAGATTATTTGTCAAGTTTTAAACTTGCTATCACTAATGAAACAGTTAAAAAACGTACTAGGAAATTGTTTACATTTATAAATTCAAGGTGTTTGGGTCACCCGTAGTTTCAGGTTTAGTGGTGGTACAATCCCTTTCTGCTTCAGAAGTTGAAATTTTAACTAACCCAAAGAATTTAGAACTGATGATTTTATGTTGGAATGTCTTAGTTGCTCGTAATTTTAGGTTTAGCAGTAACACACGTCATTTGATTGAAAAGTTGAAACCATGAATCACCTAAATAACCTTATGTCTGTTTCAGTGAGGATACAAAAGAGCTGGGATTCTCGGTTGTGATTGACATGCGTGGTGCAACCTGGAACACTGTCAAACCTATTCTAAAAGTTTTACAGGTAAGACTTTTTTTGTAATAAAATTAACTTCTAACAGTGCTTTGATAAATTACAGTGTTTGAGCTGCTACATTTTATTTCTGTTACTTCATTGTTTTTGTTGTAAGCACTACAAGGTGTTTTGAGAAACTAGAGTGCTTATATTTTAAGTTTTGTTTTAACAGTTTTACTTTATTATTGAGTGAGATTTTAGGTTACCGAATTATTTAGAATATGATTTTATTCCAATTTTTTGTATATGTATTTTACACAGGTAATGTTATATAAATATCATCTTGCACATAAATCCACTGCTTTTCCATTGTTTGTTATAAGGATGAGACAATACACTAGTTTATGGCAAAAATTATTGTTACATTTTTAGATCAACATCTAGACCCATTTCAACAAAAGCATATTTATTTACCAATAAATTTACCACTTGTTTTTAAAGCTGTTGCATTCCCCCACCTCCAATTAAAAATATTAACAAATATTAATTTTACTTAATTAAATACAAAATATGACAGTTCCTTTCACCAGTTTTCTGTACATTTGCTGCAAATTGACCTTTGCACGATTCTGATGTACATGTATTGACAAGTTCATTGTATTCTTCCCCCTTTATTTTTGTCAAGTTTTGTTGTGCCATTTTCTATGGTGACAGGAAACCCAAAAATTTCCACATAACTTACCTATAAAGTGTTGAAGGATTTTCAAGTTCTTGATTTTCATTTTGACTTATTAAATGCTGTTCATTACTCACCACTGCATGCTTCACACTATGTGTAGTTTACATACAACCACAGGATCATGGAACTAATCCTTTTATTTTATGATGTACAAATAAATAACTATGGCAGATTAAAAATCAAAACATACTTTTGCATGTCTGTTATTGTATCTCTATACATGAGCTGTGTATCATGTATTGTTTTATAAAATATGTTGATATATCAATACATTCCTCCTTTGTTGACCATCTTTAATTGCATGTAATTGAAAACTTTAAGCTTACAGAATTTTTAATTTAATATTTATTTTTAGTGATTTCAAAGTTGTATCTAGCACACAGTTTCCTGATCTCTGCAACAATTAGAGATTTGGGGACCTAGTATTTAGAATGAAAGGTTTAGTGATTTGTTGTAATGGAATTAAAGAGAAAAATCTTTGTGTGAAGTTCAAACAAAAATAAACCCCTTGTTAAGCGAATAAGGACTGAATTTTTTTTAAAGGCAGATAATTGAAGTGGAGGAATATTACAGTGTGATTAAGTCAGAGAAGGAAAGTATAATAAACTATATTTAAAGGTTAAGTAAAGATTACTCACACGATTAGTGGGTGTTGGTAAAATAAATGAAACAATGACATGACTTCACAATGAATCTGCTCCCCTTAAAGAGAAAAATAAATCTTCCCCCAAAGTGCCATAACTACATTTACAATATATATATCTTTCTTGTACCTGATCAATCAGAAAAGAGCACTTGAATGTTGGAATATTTCTGTTCCAAGTAGGGGTTGCAAGGTATTCCCCCCCATACACAAGGTCAGATTGGATACAATGCAGCTATCCTGTGAAACAGTAAATTAATTTCTTGACTGGTCAAGCTATAAAACATAACACCTCAGGCTACACATGACCTCAACCAGATTTTATATGTTTCAATCAAATTATAGCAAGGTTTAAGCATTTTTGGACACAGAATATACACTATTTTAACATATGTTGCAAGTATACCAAGGTAAGTAAGCTGATTCAGTGACTATAGAACTTTTAACTACACCCTTGAGAGTAAGTTGATGAAATTGGAAAGTATACCTTGCATTCAGACAAGTAAACGACATTTATGTGCACAAGATTTACACTTTTCTTCATCCTTCAACATATAGGAAAGTTTTCCTGCCAAAATTCATACAGCATACATAATCAAACCAGAAAACTTCTGGCAGAAACAAAGAACTAGCTTGGGAAGTTCAAAGTATAAGTTTGAGGTGAGTGGTGTACCAAATGTTGAATAGAAGTTTGAAAGAAAGAGAGGTTTCACAGTGTAGCATGTAAAATTATTTTATGAAGTTGAGTTGTTGTACTTCAACTGTATATCAAAATTTGAAAGAATGGTTATCATTCTTGAAATGTGAATTTATTTAATAAAAAATAAATATAACCTTTGTGAGGTTGAGGTGCAATACTTAATTTTTGTATATCAGAATTTGAAATAAAGGTTAAAATACTTAAATTTATTGATCAAATCTGGAAAATGCTGAGGAAATTTGAGAAACTGTTTTTGGTCAGTTAATTACCATTTGAAAATAGAACTTGAAATTTGTTAATGAAATTGTTTTAATTAAAATGCTCATTAAAAGTAAGCTAAATGGATTTTGAATATTGTAATATCAACATTACAACTGTAAAGTATAGAATATATAAATATCAGTAGGTTAATTGTGGACAGCATAAAAGTAGTTACATAAGCTATCACCTGATTGTTCATTATAACAGAAAGACAGTACCATGTGCATTAAATATGAAATTACAAATCGTGAAGTTGTTCAGTTATTTAAGATAGTACTTTTACAAATCATAGCTTTCGTTGTAAGATGATTTTGAAAAACTAAAAATTAGTTTGTTGTCAAGAAACTACTAGTGTTTAATGATCAATAATATTACTTATATATTTTGAACAAATTAGCTATAAAACTGCTTAATTATTTACATTGTATGTTTCATGACACTGAAAATATTGTTTTCACAAATCGTAATGAACGTGTTATATTATGTATATTATTTATTTAACACTTTTCACTTGCATAGTCAGGTTTCCTTGTTTGATTTTTTTTACTCAATTAACCCCATCTGGACCAGTTAGCATCTTCCAGGTGTTGAGTGCACACTTGCATATCAAAAGTAATAATTCTAACTGTATTTCAACAATTGTTTACTCAGACATACTCGATATATGATACTTATCATTTTGTTTGTAACATATAATTAGTGTATTAGCAAAGTAAAATGTAAACATTGTTCAGATGTACATTTCTCTTTAGTTCTAGGGAGTCTAGCCTGTAACAAGGCACTTGTCAATTTTTTCTCCTCATCTCAATACATAGTTTTCACTTGCTAAGAAACTTTCATCCCTTTTCAATACAGTCAACCAGGGATATCTACTATGATATCCCTTCTCTGTCTAATGATTTTTTATTACAGGCCTCCAATCACATAAACATGTTTTGGGATCAAAAATGTGAAAACAACTGTTAATGAAGAACAGCTTTGAAAATAACTACAGGCAAAGTTTAAATACCTTAGGATAGAGAAGATTATATGATATTTATGCCAATGCAAAGTAAATTATATGGTGTGAGATGTGATTTATGGTTTGAGGAGAAAGTGGTTAGATGTAGCTCTTGCAGAAGAAACACTGCAATTTAGTGGGAAGTTTAGAAGACTTGGGAATAAACGACAAATGTGGAAATTCTGTGTAGTTTCTTTTTACATTTATGATATATGAGATTGTTTTTAAATTAGATTATATTTATTTGAATGTTATGTCAATTTTCTTCCATGCCTTGTTAGGCAAAATGTTCCATTACTCAAATCTTTATTTATTGAGTATATTATTAAATTCATTGTATTCAACAGGAATAAAAGAACTTGTAAAAAATGAAAAAATGTTTTATTTAATAGATGTAAATTGATTTTGTCCATGTACTTAGTCAGACCTGACACCAGTTTGAAAGATTTGGTCTTAGGTTGTTGTTGAATCTTTGTCAATTAATACCGTGTATTTTAGGATTTATAGCTGTATGTGATGATTACTTCAGTTGGTAAATTAAAGTTTCAAAAGATATGCAGTAATGAAAATCATTTTAGACTGAAAATCAGACTAGATATATAAAATGGAACATTGTAAAAAAGATTTAAATTCTAAGATGAAGGAAAGGGCTAAACAGAAGCCATATCTAGGCGAAGATCTTTGTGAAACAAAGGTTATATTTAATCAAAAAACAAACCATATTTATTCATAGTAATCCATGAAAGATAAGATTAATTTATAGGAAGTATCTTATGAATTATGTTTCGGCAAAATAACTCCTGAAAAACATGTAGAGTCAAGAGTATATCTCTTGGAACTCCAAACATTGTTTAATTAAACATATTTTTTTGTCATTGAAACTAAGTTTGAATTAACAAAGTTCTATCTGAATAGTGATAAAATGGCTGTTAATGAATAAGTGGTAAAAAACCATCCAACATTTAAAGTTTCTGCTCTTGTATAGAACTTGCCAGCATTGCTAAGTTTCTCTACAGGATTTTATGACAGTACATGATTTTATCTCCTCTTGTAAAAACCTTTACTTTTATTGCTGCAATCATTAGAAACTCGTTCAAATATGGTTATGAAACTTTTCTAGATGCTGAAGTTAAATGCAATTGAATACAAATTTGATATGTTTTTAGTCTTAAGAATTATTATATATTGGCAGCATGGAATGTCTAGTACTAAATTTATAGACTTACAGAGGGTTTGTGCATTTGTGTTGTTTTTGACGTGGTTAAAGTTGTCCCTGATGTTTCATTCTGTAATTAACATAAATGTTTTATTGCCTGATGTGTTGGATTTGACTAAGTGGACATGCTCTCAGAATACACTTTTATTGTTTAGGAATTTAGGTATAAGCTGATAGATTGTTTCTTTTCATTTTATTAGACAAGCATGATATCACTAGAAACTCTATCTAAATATATTGACCAGTCACAATTGACCAGTGACCTAGATGGTACATTACCATATGATCACAATCAGTGGATTGAACTGAGATTGGTAAGTAGAAATGATTTACTTACAATATATAAGTATTGCATTTAACAAGTGGTTTATTTATATGTTGTGGGGGCTGGTAAACAAATAGTTTCTATGCAACCATGGAAAAATGAGAATCTTTTTTTTTTTCTTTATTCATCCATTATATATACATAATATGTTGATTTAGACTTTGACCTCCCTCCTGGAGATATTTCTATGGACGCCCATGTTTACAACATATAAGTTTAGTGTTAGTGGTCTATGTTCAGATGGTAGACTGGTAAACAGTAATTTATTTATTTATTTATTATAACTGATAATAAGTATGTTACATAAACTTAATAAGTATACTTCAAAGTTACTCATGTTTTGTGTTTTTAATAAGTATACTTCAAAGTTACTCATGTTTTGTGTTTTTAATAAGTATACTTCAAAGTTACTAACATTTTGCATTTTTACTTTTCAGAGCTTAGAGAGTTTTGTATCTAAAACATTGGATGTAATGGAACGAATGGATAGGATCAAAGATGACCTCTTGAGGAATGACTTTGCTAGCGATATCAGTGGAGCCAAGAGAATGGTTGAAGAACATAACAGCATGAAAAAAGTTGTACAAACTCCATTGGAAAACATTGATTATGAAGGTCAACAAGTATTACACAGGTATTGTAATTTGTTTTATAAGTTATTCATTAGCTAACGATGGAGATGTAGTATGCAGATATTATGATTGTAACACTTTCATAACTTTGAAAATGGATATATATCTTTATTTAGGTGTGTTCAGGTCAAATTTTAAAAAGTACGAGTAGTTGTAATAAGATAGTCCGTTTAAACAAGATGTGCCCAAAAATAAGTTATGCTAAACCTATTGTTAAGCTTCTTGTACACAAAAAGAGATCACTCCAAGACATCCATATCTTCTCTGATGGTTATAAATTTGTCTTTGAGTAACTTGGCTAGTATAGTGATTACATTGAAAATTAGAATTGTGAGAGAAATCTGGTTTTACTTTCTCCATCAGAGGTAATGATCTCATGAAATTTCTCACAAGTCATTCTGGGAAGTTCTAATGGAGATTAGGATTGTGTACAATCTTAAATAAAGTAGAAACTCCTTCCAGAGACTAAAGTAGATAAGGTTGAATATCAAAGTCATTATCCTGTACATGCTCAGATTCCATCTCTATATTACGCTAAAAACTAGTTTTACTGAATGCAGCCACAGTTCTTTGCTTTGGACTTCCTACACATCATGAGGTCATAATACTTGCTAACTCATAGATTTTCAGGCTGAGCAGAAGTGAAGCAAAATATCAGTGTTTTTTCACTATTGTTTTACTTTTAGGTTATATCTCTTAAAACATTTTGTAAAAGTATGTTATGACAAACTGTAAACATTACATTTCTAGAAAATAAATAGAATGATAAATCCTTTAAGTAGTTAAATTGGACATAGATCATCTTTCATCGGCATGCTATTGTATTGGATGTTGTGATTTGCAATAACTAATCTCTGTTCTGTTTTAGATTTGGAAATATTTTTTATTTCTTTATCTGTATTGGTCTTTACTTTTGAACTCTTCCATATCTGTTATGGGTTACCTATAGTTATTTGAATAAAAAGTAGCTTATTTCACATAATAACTTAGATCACTGGGTATAGTGCTAACAGCTGACACAATCAGTGTACTAGGATCACTGGGTGTAGTATTAATAGCTTACACAGTCAGTTTACCAAGCTAACTTAGATCACTGGAAGTATTATTAACAGATGACATAATAAGTGTACCAGACTCAAATAGATCACTGGGTGAAGTATTATCAGCTGAATTAGTCAGGGGGGAATTATTGACAGCTGAATTAATCAGTATACCAGGCCAACTTAGATCACTGGGCAAAGCATCTACAGCTGGCATAATTAGTGTACCAGGTTAACTTAGATCATTGGGTGAAATACTAACAGGCTATGTAGTATATTATCCAGGCTATTAACATGATAACCGGATCAAGTAATAATAGGTGTAATGAGCATTGCTTGATAACTTAGGTTACTTTGGTCAATTTTAATAATTGACCTAATCCATGCTCCAAGTTAACATAGTCTGTAGGATAAAATATTACGAACTGGCACAGTGTGTTTCAGTCTCATTTCTAGAATTAAGTATTAACAACATTGACAAAATCTGTGTTCATGGTGAAATTAGTGTATCTGAGATAATCTGTGTTCCAGACTAATGTAGGTTTCTGAATGGAATATTTCTAGCTGCTGTAATGAATTCAAGGTTACCTAGGTTTTTTTTTGTTCAATATTGATGGCTGATATAACTTGTATTGCAAACTGGGTAATGTATTAACAACTGACATAGTCTATATTTTAGGCAAAATTAATGTGCATTCTCGACTAAGTTATATCCATTTGTGAAATAAATGAACATTTGACATAATATCTTTTTTCAAGTTAACTTAGACTACTAGTTTAGGTTTAATAGCTGACAAACTTATGTTCCAGGCTAAGTTATGCAACTGGTGGAAGTAGTGGAGGATCTTGTGATTCAGGTTATTCTAGCAGGGATAGTGCACCTCCCACAATGGCTGGAAACACGGATTTTCAATGTGCAATTTCCCATGTTATGCAGTTATTGGATGATGTCCATGTCACACAAAGGCATCTGGGTCAGTTATGGCATGTCCGAAAGAACAAACTTGAACAGTGCTATCAAGTACGAATGTTTGAACAAGATGCTCAGAAGGTTAGTTATTATTTTTTAAGATTTTTTACTTTTAAGGTAATACTTTTGTTTTCTAGTTTTATCATTTTCATTAAAGTCTGATGTTAATTCAAATACTAAAGATTTATTACATACACCATTTTTTTTAAAATTCCTTTCCCATTCTTTTTCACTATACAAATTTTGTTTTAGAAGTCAACAGTTTGATGTTTTACAGAACCACTTTTAGATAATTCTGCTGTATTCTGAAAAAATATTAAGGTGAATGCTAGTCTTTATTTATTTTGTAATATAATCATTGTGTTGTTGTGAATGGAATCAGTATTTATAGTGAGTGTGTATACAGTTCAGTGCATTAAAGAAACTTTTAAATCTTGAAATAATATGCATAGTGATTAACTGTTTTTATTGAGGGTTTACCAAATATGGTGTTTGTTCTGAATATATCCTTCATTTAAAACAAATAAATCAGTTTGCATCTGAAATACATATCGGTCTTGCAGGCTCAAAATTAAATAGATTAATGACAAATAGGATGGATTTTATATATCCTACTGGATACATGATGAATGTAACCTTAGAATCCCATCTAGCTGGTTACTATAACTTTATACTTAAACAGAAGTTCTAACACTGATATAAACTTCAATAAATATTTACCACTTTATGAGGACTTTCTTGATTATATTATTTCTTAGGGACAGAATGTTACTCTATTTAAAGTACATTGAACATTTGATTTTACTTGTTCTTTCAATTAGTAAAAACATCATTTTTTCACAAGCATTAACTACAAAGTGTTTGATAATATTTTTTAAAGGTAAAAAATAAAGTGTTCTTCAGTTAACAGTATACTCTAGAGTACCTTTGTTTTTTTGCTGCAGGTGTAAATATATTACTGAGCAGTGAGTAAAAAGTTAAGAAAAACTATAAAAATTGATTTCGGTGTACATTGATATATCCCTTTCTTCAAAATAATGTGTAGTACAGTTTTATACAGTAAAACACTATTTTTTATTCTATTGTAGATGTACGACTGGATCGTTCATAACCTGGATCTCTTTCTAGTCAGATATGTTGAGATTGGTCGTTCCTTTCAAGAAGCTAAAGATATGCAGGAAGAACATAATCATTTAACCATGGCATCAATGGTAAGAAATTATTTTGAAACCTCTTTTTTTTTCTAATCTGATTGTTTCATTAATAATTTACCTAACAACCTATTGAATATTTTAATCTTTTTAATTTTAATCATAAAGGCCTAATTTATAAGCATATATATGTATATAAATTTTTGTTGTTGTCATCTGCTTGTACAGAATGTCTACACAACCATCAACCGTATCCTCACAGCAGCATCCAGGCTGATTGACTCGGGCCACTATGCTAGTAGTGCTATCCAACAAACTGCAGCTCGTTTGGACAATGCCTGGAAGCAGTTTGCAGCAGGGTTGGATGAAAGAACAACTGTATTGTCTCTGTCTGTATTGTTTCACCAGAAAGCTGAACAGGTAATGTGTAAGAGCTGATATATTGTATGGAAAACCAGGTTTTTCACTGCACTGCTTGATTACAAAGCTGAGCAAGTAAGTTAAAGTCTAACACATTGATATTTAAGTTGAATGGGTAGAAAGCTTGTTTTACTGCTGTTTCATCAGAAAGCTGACAAGGTAATTTAAAAACAAAAGATTTTAACTGGGACATGAGTATATAAATAGCTGTGTTTTGTACTCTTTCATTACTTGTTTTACTGCTTGGGAATCCATGTCATATACTATTTTATTAGAATGCTAAGAAATAATGTAAAACCTGATATAATTCTTTGTATTATGGTTGTTTTGCTATTGCTTCATGAGAAAGCTGGGAAGCTAATTAAAAGCTACTGTTTTTCACTGGACAGGCATGTGTTTGTGTGTATAGAAAATTATGTTGTGTACTGTTTCCTTAAAAGGAGAACATCTAACTTAAAAAAAGCTAAAGTATTTACTGGATTCTGGATGTTTAGAAATCCAGGTTATATGTACTATTTAATAAAAAACTAAACATGTAATATAAAACCTGAAGTGTTCAATTGGATGATGAATGTTGCTCATTAGAAAAATTAGCAGCTAATTAAAGCTTTTTTTTTTTCTTACTGGAATGTGAATATATAGAAATCAGTGTTTTATATTGTCTTATTAGAAAATTAGCTAGAAAATTCATGACTTTTAAAAACATTTTCACATTTTACTCTGGCAATAAAAGATTATTGCAACCATCTATAAACTTACTTCATAAGCTTGAGTGATATTAAAATCTTATCACAAATTTTAAAACTTTATGTACACTCTGAACATCTCATCCCACAAATTTTGGTGATATGGTATTGTTATCCCAGTGCAAATATACATTCCCCCTACAAATTCTGATGATATAAGATTGTATTTCAGTCCATAACAGTTACTGTCAGGTTATTGACAGATACATGATGCTTGACTCAGGCTATTGACAGATACATGATGCTTGACTCAGGCTATTGACAGATACATGATGCTTGACTCAGGCTATTGACAGATACATGATGCTTGACTCAGGCTATTGACAGATACATGATGCTTGACTCAGGTTATTGACAGATACATGATGCTTGACTCAGGCTATTGACAGATACATGATGCTTGACTCAGGCTATTGACAGATACATGATGCTTGACTCAAGCTATTGACAGATACATGATGCTTGACTCAAGCTATTGACAGATACATGATGCTTGACTCAGGCTATTGACAGATACATGATGCTTGACTCAGGCTATTGACAGATACATGATGCTTGACTCAGGCTATTAATATTAACTTCTGATCAGAGCAAGCTACCTACATAAATATTATGTGACTTATTTTGTATGTTTTGATAGTTTAGTGCTTTTACAGTCCATATAATTTGTCACAATTCATAAAATTTACTTCAGCAGCATTTGCATAACTGTCCATTACACGTTCTTTGCAAGCTAATGAAATAAGTAGAATTTGAAATTAACCAAAGTTATGAGGGAAGATCAGAATTGTCAGTTAACCCTTTGTACACAGATGGGGGTCAAAGCATGCATGCCAAAACCTTTAACAGAGTGCCATTCAACCTGATATTATATAGGTGATGTCAGAGATATCAACAATTCATTTTAGCCTACATTGCTGATTTAGTAACAGTTTGTGGTAGAAGAGAGTAAATTTCAGTTATAGTATACAGAGATACTAAAACAAACTGTAGATATGCATTTTGGAGGTTCTAGAAGCTATGCAAATACATTATGCAAACTGTAGGATAGACAAAAGTATTTTTACTCTTCACGTGAACACCACCTTGCACTCTGACTTGTCAGGGTCCGAGTCAGACTAATTGTGTCAGTTCATGGGCATACCTTGAGTACAGATACTTTTGTAACACATTTGATTTTTTTGTATACAGCAGTCTTTTATCCTTTACTAAAAGCTTGCCACATTTTGTGTAGATAAGTGTCATAAGGAATTATAATTGACATTTCTTCTCTGACCAATTCCATGCACATTTGATTAAACAATATTTCCAGGAAAACTGAGAAGAGTCCAGTTAACCAGTGTTTCTAGGAATGTTCAAAACTGTCAGTTATCCAGTGTTTCTAGGAATGTTCAAAACTATCAGTTATCCAGTGTTTCTAGGAATGTTCAAAACTATCAGTTATCCAGTGTTTCTAGGAATGTTCAAAACTGTCAGTTATCCAGTGTTTCTCTGGGAATTCAGAATTGTCAGTTAACCAATGTTTTGAGGAAGTTAGTTAGTTAAAGGAATTATTTTAAGGCACTTATACCTTTCTTAGAAAGTTAGTTAAATTAAAATAGTTATATGACATTATATGCTTTTTTGCAGGTTATTTTTTATTATTCAGTTTGTTTTTATTCCCATAGTATTTAAACAACGTTCCCTCCTGGACTCAGAATTGTCAATTAACTAATGTTCCAAGAGAAGTTTCAGAGCTAGAAGAACTGATTCATCAGCATCAAAATTTTTATGAAGAAATATGCCAAGCTTACACAGAAGTAAGTGTGTATGTATGTGAACATAGAGCTAGTAGTGAGATATTTAAATACCAAATATCTATTAAGAGTTAGTAAAGTATTTTATTGAGTTAATTAGCTTGTACTTACAGTTAATAAAAGTGTTTTGTTTTGTAATGTGCACTTAATCTATCAGTGTCACTTCCATGCTGTCATTGATTCAAGTCTAGGTGTTTGTCCTTCTAATGTGAAGTGGAAGCTGTAGGAAAGAAAACATGTGTCATTAAACAAATTAACTAACCTTACTTAAAAGTGAGGTGTTTTATTACATTCACTTACTCAAAATTTTAAAATACATCAGAAGATTTATTATGTAAATCTAATATAGTATACACCAGTCAGTCACTCTTTGCTGTGCTATTGCAGTGAGAGCATGTCAAATGGCTTAACCAGTGGAAAAAATGTCCTCAAACCTGTCTTTGCTGTAAAATCAAACAAGTCTTATTTTAAAGTTAAATACTTGGCTATATTTAAGATCTAACATAAACAAACCTCTAAGTGACTATAATAGAAAAATCTATAGAAATTAATCTGTAACTATCAAAGAAGAAGAAGATAAAATGAGCAACTATACAATAAAATATAATATGAAAATTTTAAAGTTATGAAACTGCCAGTGAAGGGGATGATGTCAACACACAAAGTAAGGGCAATGGGAAGCCACTCTTCAAAACTGGCTGAAAATTCACATGTAAACTGGGGAAAAAATTCTTAATTAATAATAATAATCAGCACATAGAGAAAAGTTGATGATTATTCACAGTTGCCATGCCCTCTGATTATTTTCCAGTTGATTTCAACAACACCTGATTGATCCCATGAAAGTCACTTTTCACAGTTTTTTTGTGATTAACAACTTGTTTTTCTTTAGTGTAACTCAATGCACATGGGTGGGGGCCAAAATGTGCATGTCACAACGTTTTACAGAGTTATGTACAAAATTTGATTAAAAAATTTTATTTTAGATTTGTGTCAGTAAATTTGACATTAAAATGTAGTTTATAATTGAAATTTGAACATTATGTAAGTTTTAATTTTAGTTTTTACAGGAAATATTTATATAAATTCTCAAATTTCACTTCTTTATCACATGACACTTATTTGCTCTGAATTGTGCATTTTCTACTTACTAACCACCCATGTATAATGTCCCGAGTTTAACATAAGTTACACATTTTAGTATATGCATATATTACTAAGGCAGAATCTAATTTTATAGTATCTAATCTGCTTTATTTATGGAGGTATACAGTTTCTCTTTCTCAAATTGCTAGTAATTCATTTGCTATTGCATCATTTGTAACCAATTGAAAGACAAAGTTTTAATTTACCAAAGATGTATAGTGCTAGCTTTTTATTCTGACAGCTTTTCAGTTATTTTGCCAACAGATTCAAAGCTGCTGTTACCAAAGTCAGATCAATCAGCTAAAGAAATTATTTTAAGGCACTTATACCTTTGTTAGAAAGCCAGTTAAATTATGATAGTTATAGGACATTGTATGCTTTCTGCATGTTATTATTTAGTGTTCTTAGGTGCATATTTGAAATAAATAAAAATTATTTGACTTAGTAGTACCATCATTACAACAAGTAGGCTTAAGTTTCATTAGTTGGCCAACAGTAAAAAACTAGAGACCAAACATAAGTATTAAATTTCTAATTTTTGTATGTATATTTGTTTATTTATTGTTATATATATAGCTGACCCCATGTACACAGGATTACACCATGGCCATGGGTTACTTCTGATTTTAGACAGTAACCTAGAACAGTATTTTTACCTGTGATGAATTTCTGGGTACTTAATATGACTTAGCCCTTTTTGGATAAGGGGTATCACTGATACCCCCTAGATTGTTTTTATCTCACAGTGAAATAGAGTTGGAATTATTATTTTTACTTAAATTCTTGACACCTCGAAGATGCTCACTGGTCCAGAGAGGGTTAATTTTCTGTCAGTTTGCTATATTCATATTTTATAAGTAATTTAATTATTGAGTGGCTAAGTGTGTGAGGTCACCAGCTAGTGAATGTCATTACCTAGCTGCAGTTTTGGGTATGTAGCCTTAGAAGTGAATTACACACAAATAATTATATTATTGTCTGTATTTCCTTGTTGTCAGCATTCATTTTAGTTTGTATTTACCTTTGACTATTTTAAAGCCATAATAATGTCAATAGATTTTAAGAAACAATGCTATTCTAGGTTACTTACATACATTGAATTTGGAACTTGCTACTCTGGAACAAGAAAGGCAACTTTCCTATTTGTCTTTTCCATTATCATCAAATGTTAAGTAGAAAACTTCTTTCAGTACATCATTGTAAGAGGTTTCTCAGTCATGCTCTGAAAGTATGTTGGTTTTCTGCAACCCATGTTCAAAATTGAGTTAATATAATGGAATAATAGCTTTGCTGATGGCTAATAGTACTTGCTCCATCATTGATTATGTCTACTCTTATAGTCATGATTAAGCTTCTGCCAAGGAGAGTGAAGTAAATGCTAGTTTTTTACAGACCCATTGTAATATGTGAATGTTGTTTCCAAGACCATCTTTAAACATATTAAAGGCACAAAAGTCCATGTGGATGAGGGTATTGCTCCAGATTGGCTTGGGTTGTGGTTTCAGAGCCATTGCTGTTCTAAATGCTCTTCTGTACAAGTCCCTTCACTTTCATAGAAGGTTCATTTCTTCTTAGTGTTTTGTTCTTTGGATCTCTATCATTAAATAACATTACTAGGCCAATATCTATCCATGGAAAGGATTGTGAAACACTCCTCCAGCTATAAATATCTGTCATGGCATTGCATGTTGAATTGTCAGGAATTTCTTGTAAATTAAGTGTACAGGTGCTAAACATGTTGCTTGTGGCTCCAAAACTTGCATTTTTAGCAACATTTCACTGCATCAGCTAAGAATATCATTTTTAAAGTTTGAATAATTAGACTTCGGATATGCTTTTGTAGTTAGAAATTAGTAAAGATTAATATTTAAAGAATTGTTTCATATTCTACTGCAGAAATGGGGTATATATGTTTCAGCTAACTCACTCAACATAAATAGAAAAACATTGAAATTAATATAGAGAAGTGCAACAAACGTTTAAACACTATACAAAAGTCATTCCAACTAAATAATACATCTAAAACTTTACATTACAATTAATAATGAATTTTTGAAAGATACCTCATGAGTACTTTAATCAAGTGAAGTGAGATTCCTAACATACTTAGAGCCAATAAAGCAAGTTGTCTAGTGGTTTGTTTAGATAACAAAATATTTGTAGAAAGTATTGTGATATTTGATAAAACCAAGCAGCTTAGTTGACTAAAGTTACCTGCCTGATAAATAAGGTCACAAGTTCAAATCCTGCTGGGTCTTGGGTTTTACTTTTTCTAAGAGTTTAACACTGTGTAGTGATGTACCACCTTTAAATACTATCAGTCAACAGGTTATCCAACAAGAAAATGTTTTCTGCTTTGTTTGAAATAAAGCTGTATGTTTCATAAAAAATGAATTATCAAGAAAAGTTATTTATTACCTTTCAGACCATCCCGAATTTTAGTCAAAGTTCCTGTTTACTAAATTGGTAGATGCTAACCATGGGAAGTATTAGTTCGAAATGTCAGTAACTTCAATCCTTTCATCATTTGTAGTTATGCTGTAATGGTCTTAATTTAGATAAGTCATTTACTATGTAGGTAAAATAGGTGCATTAAGATATTAAAGTTTAAAGATAATCACAGAATATGCTGTTATATTGTAAATTCTAAATTTATATATATATATATAACTTTATGATCACATTAAAAGTAGTTTAAATGCATGCTGCTTCATTATGATTAGCAAAAGGTTTGACTTCAGAATCTTTATCAATTTAATATAAATTTGCTAAGAAAGGAATTATATCCCATCAGTGAGAAAATGTGATTTTAAACTATAGTTTTGATGTATACCAAAAAACTAGTGATGTTGTGACATCATTTTCTGTGAGTTGCTCCTACATTTTCATTTAAATTACCATTTATTAATTTTATTGCTAGAGTATAACAGGGTTTTGGCTGTGTCATTTTAACACCAATCAGCTTCGTATAGTTTTGGCTTAATCATTTTTATTCGTTAAAAATTTGGATTTGACTAAATAAAACCAAAATCTTCATCAATATAGTATTTCACTCCAGTGAAGCTCATTACTTTAAAAAGTCTCTGTATATATTTTCTGTTTTATTTTTCATTCTCTTTACCATCAGTGTTCTAAAATTGAAATTGGTTTATTGGTATGTCAGTAGATGTATAAAAATTAAAAATTCAAACATTTTTGTAATATTATTTTGCTTTTTTATAAGCTTGACAACTCGTTAGATATATAGATAATTTCTACAAGTTAGCTTTCTTTAATTTGAAGACTAAACAATAGTACTTGTTATTTTAGGAAGTACTTGACAAGTAGAACAATGTAGGTAATGGATCCTGATTGTTAACCTCCCCTGCAAAACCTTATTAGTGATAGCTGTCTGTCTATCTTTTGTAATTATTGTGTAGGTTCATAGCACCAGTAAAAAGTTACTCTACCAGTTGGACCACTTGGTGCAGGTATGCCATCAGCCCAAGACTGAAGGATCAACCCATAAACATGTAGGACACTCTGTTCTCTAGATGATGCATGTTTTCTATGATTGTGTAGGGCTTCTTGTTTTCTAGATGATCCATGTTCTCTATTAACATCTAGGACATCCTTTTTCTAGATATGCATCTTTTCTACAATAGCATAAAATTCCCTATTTTCTAGATGATGCATGTTTTTTTATAAATGCATAAGTCTTTTTGTTTTCCAGATGATTCAGTATTTCTATTCATATTTAGGACTTCCTGTTTACTAGATGATGCATGTTTTCTGTGCATAGGATTTCTGGTTTTCTGGATGATGTATGTCTTGTATAAATGCATAGAACTTCCTGTTCTGTAGATTATGTATGTTTTTTGTATGTTTTATGTTAACATGTAGGGCTTCTTGTCCTTCAGATGATGCATATTTCCTATAAACATGTAGAACATCTGATTCTCTATATGATACATGTTTTCTCTAAATATGTAGAACATCTGATTCTCTATAAGATGCATCTTTTATATAACTGTGTAGAACATCTGATTCTCTATATGATGCATGTTTTTCTAAATGTATGGAACATCTAATTTTCTATAAGATGCATGTTTTCTCTAAATGTTTAGAACATCTGGTTCTCTAGATGATGCATGTTTTGTATAAATGTGAAGAACATCTGGTTCTCCAGATGATGCATGTTTTATATAAATGTGTAGAACATCTGGTTCTTTAGATGATGCATGTTTTGTATAAATGTGTAGAACATCTAGTTCTCTAGATGATGCATCTTTTGTATAAATGTGTAGAACATCTGATTCTCTAAATGATGCATCTTTTGTATAAATGTGCAGAACATATAATTCTCTAAATGATGCATGTTTTGTATAAATTTGTAGAATGTCTGGTTCTCTAAATGATGCATGTTTTGTATAAATGTGTAGAACATCTGGTTCTCCAGATGATGCATGTTTTATATAAATGTGTATAACATCTGGTTCTCCAGATGATGCATGTTTTATATAAATGTGCAGAACATCTGGTTCTCTAGATGATGCATGTCTTATATAAATGTGCAGAACATCTGGTTCTCTAGATGATGCATGTTTTGTATAAAACATCTGGTTCTTTAGATGATGCATGTTTTGTATAAAACATCTGGTTCTTTAGATGATGCATCTTTTGTATAAATGTGTAGAACATCTGATTCTCTAGATTATGCATGTTTTATATTAATGTATAGAACATCTGGTTCTCTAGATGATGCATGTTTTCTGTGCTTAGAATTTTTGCTTTTCTTGTGATATCTATTTTCTGTAAATGTGTAGGACTTCCTGTTTTGTAGGTGATATATATTTTCTATATATGCATAGAACTTCCTGATCTTGTAATGATGCATGTTTTTTATTGACATGAAAGACTTGTTGTCTAGATGATACACATTTTTTATAAATGTGTAGGACTTCTATTGTGTGACTTCCTGTTCTCTAGTGTTATATATTTTCGTAGACAATTGTCTTTAATAGTTATTGCACGTTTCCTACAAACATGTGTAGGTCATTGTTCTATAGATGATTGATATTTTCTCCAAATTTAGTGTAGTTTCTTTCTAAATGTTGCATTTCACACAATAATCTAGGGCTTTTCTTTAGATGGTGCACGACTACTGTGGAATTCTAGTTGGTGATTCTCTCCTACATACATTTATGAGTATTTTCAGTTCTATGGAGCATGCCTCCTACACACACAGGAGTTTGTTTCTTTAGATGGTGCATACACGTAGGAGTTGCAGGTTTTCAAGTATACTCGTATCTATAGAACATGCCTCCTACAGATATGTAGGACTTGGTTTTTCAAGTATATTCATGTCTATGGATCATGCCCCCCTATAGATAAATGTATTGGATGAGGTTTCACTAGTATAATGGTTTCCAAACTTTTTTCACCGGCAACAACCTAACCCACTTACTTTGATTTGTGCAACACCCCCTGTTGTAGAGTTTTTTTATGTTCTTAATTATTGTCATAATGACACCCTTAGCAACTTGCTGTGACACACAGTTTGGAAACCACTGCTCTAGTATTTTCATATCTGTGAAGCATGCCTCCTACAGACATGTAAGACTTAATTTCTCTATCATTTTCATATTTATGGAACATACCTCCTAAAAACATGTAGGATGTTTTCTGTAGTGTTTTCATATCTATGGAGCATGTCTCCTACAGGACTTCGTTTATCTTGTATTTTTGTATCTATGGAGCAGCATTTCCCAAACTTTTTTAGCCATGGAACACTTTTGAGCCCTAAAACTGTTGACAGAACCCTTAAAAAACATTCTTATGCTAAAACGTTACATCATAAAAAATTATCATAAGAAGAACTTGTTTTTTGTTTTAAAATTCCTCCTGATCTGTGGCTAAGTAGTATCAATACTTGAAATCACTGTCATTTTGTAATGTTACAAAATATTCACAAACTCAAGACTAGTTTGTTGTTTCCTTAAGACATTTTGTTAGACTATCACTAATGGCTGACTTATAGCGAGGCATAAATTAGGCTTTGCCCACAAAATGAAATAGCCAATGACAAAGGGAATACAGGGTGGTACGATTTATGGGCTGATGAGCTTTTAAGCCATACATATACCTGGCCTGCTCCTTTACTCTGACTACACTGCACAAAATGTTCTTGTGGAACTTCTGGATATATCATACAGAACTCCCAGGGTTCCATGGAACATGGTTAGGGAAATGCTGCTATGGAGGATGCCTCCCACAGACATGTAGGACTTAGTTTCCGTAGTATTTTCATATCTATAAAGCATGTCTCCTACAGTCATGTATGACTTAATTTATGTAGTATTTTCATATCTGTGAAGCATGCCTCCTTATAGAACATAGGATTGAGTTTGCTCAATATTTTCGTATGTAGATGTTGCAAGCCTATTACAGACTTGTAGACTTTTTCCTTATGTATTGCATGCTTCCCTTAGATATATATATATGACTTTTTTTTTCTAGATTTTTACAGTTTACTTGGAAACATGAAGAAGTATATATTTCATTTTGATGTTGCAGGCAATTTACAGTCACATAATATTGCATTTTTCTTATAAACATTTTGAACTTTATTCTAGGTCTTCAGCAAATATATATAGGAGTTAGCTTTAACTACACAGTGCACATGTTCTACAGAAATATAGTTGTTTTTTTATTGTATATGCATCTTGTAGGCATACAGGTCTTTTTCTCTAAACCATGCTTGCTTCTTACAAATAAGTAGAATTTTGTTCTATTTTTAATTGATGTATTCTCTTACAAGCATGAATGACTGTTTTCTCAGTGTGTGTCATGTCTGCTATAAACATAAAAACCTTGTTTCTCAACATCCCTCATGACTCTAACAAACATGTTTTTCAGAATGTTTCATGTCTCCTTTAAATGTGAATCACTGTTCTTCAAAATGCCTGAAGTCTCGCAGGACATTAATCACTTTTTTTCAGGATGTTGCATGCTTCTTTAAAACCTGAATGATGGTTCTCTCATTATTTCTCATGTTTTATACAAGTACTTAGGTATGTCTTGCTGATACAGGCCTCCTCCTACAAACATGAAGAATGATTATTTTTAGATCACTCATTTGTATTTCAACCATGTTTTATGTAGATGATGCACACCTCTTACAAACATGTGGAATAGTGTTTGCTAGATTGTGCATGTCTCTTTCGTGATAAACATGTGGTGCTTTTATCTTCGTTGATGCAGATCTCTTACAGTTTTACTCTTCTTTAGATGATTCAAGCCTTTAGAATGAGCATGCCATCTGTCCAACAAAAAATTGTTATATAACTATGTAGTATTTAACTAACATATTGTTATCCATCTTTACAGGTGTTTAGTATAAAATATTTTTAAAATGATAATTTCCACCCTTATATTTATAATTTTATAATATGTTATAGATAGTAAGAGCACATAAAATTTGTAACAATTTTACTGTTGGATCAACCAGATATTTTCTCTCTCTCTCTCTTGTTTAACTAACACGTAATATGTGTTATATTGCAGAAAACTCAAATGTTGTCTGAGCCATATTATATTTATGTGTAAGTTAAATATTTGTTGTATTTGTTTAATTTTAGACTGTATACCTTTATTTATTCGTAATGTATGTCTTTTCAGCAAGTCAGTGAAGGAAAGGTCTTGTTAGCCAACATGAATCATCATGGTAACAATCACTATAGCAACCCAGCTGCTGACTACTCAGAAGGAGCAAAGCATGTACTGTCTGTGATTCATCAGATTTTAGGGAATCATCGGTCACTTGAATCTATATGGCATGCAAAGAAGATCAAGCTACATCAAAGATTGGCCCTAGGTCTCTTTCAGGAGGACGTGAGACAGGTGAGGCTAATAAGCCATGAAAAAAATGAAAATGAATGATAACATTACAAAGAACAAAAAACTGAAGTTTATACAACAGGATCAGCAATGAAATATGTTTTATTTACACATGATATGGTTTGTGAAAGGTTCTTTGTGAGTTGAAACTTTGAACTGAACTAATATTCAGAATCTTTTATATTTTTTATATTGTTAGAAACACTTGTTTTTTAGTAAATCTTCATGTTGTCATCACTAAAAACCTGAGTATGATTTCTCTAATTGGATGTATGTATGGAGATTATTATGTGACTCAATTTTGTATTGGCATTGTCTAGAATGATGGTTTTAGGTATAAGTCTAAAAAGATATGCAGTGATCAATGATTTCATAATGATGCCAAAATTAATGAAAGTGTATAGTAGAAATAATGGTTGCTGAACTAAATATATGTATGTAATCTTTACAGTGACTTAGCAAGGGTTCTCAGCATCTGGGGGCAAAGACACTTTTGGTGCTCCACATCTGAAATGTTTTGATTATTTGTTTTGTGACTCATTACTCACTTAATGACAATAACATAAAGAATTAATTATCGCCTTACACAAGCCTAAAATAAAGTCACAATATAACATCTCACGATATCACAACTGTAAACCTGGAACTAATGAAGTATAGCCTACTAGGTGTACTTACATAATTGGTAAACCATTTTGATATTTATGTCATCCACTATTGTTCAAAGTCACATAGCTAGAGTAATCTTTCAAGCATGCAGAATAAATTTTTGTTATATCCCTAGTTTTGAAACTTATGTTTTGTGTGAGAGACTGGTCACTTGTGGTGTACATGGATTATAAAACAGATTGATAAAATACTACTTAAGTTTACAAATAAAAAATTTTATTAGTTTACAAAACTGTACATATACTTAACTAAATCTTGTACAGGTAGCATTCTGGTATTCATGGTTACATTACATGAACCTTTCATGCTTTTGCTGCTGCAAATGCATCAATTAAACTATCAAAATTTAAGTTATTAAGTATGTCTTTTTCAGTACTTAATATTT